CTCTCTCTCTCTCTCTCTCTCTCTCTCTCTCTCTCTCTCTCTCTCTCTCTCTCTCTCTCTCTCTCTCTCTCTCTGTGTGTGTGTGTGTGTGTTCGCCTACAGATACGAATGTACAGATCTTTATAGATTGGGACAAAACAGCGTCAGATGTACCATCGGAGGAAGCAGAGAGAAGGCGGAGAAAACAGGGGTTCGTCGTTTAAGTTTTAACGCAAGTTCTTTTCCTTGAAATTCAACCGACGGATAAGGACGTTGCATGTTACAGTAATTGTAACATGCACACCTTTTCTGGATGATGAGCATACCTGCGACGGACTCCATGTGATTTAGCAAGCATAACTTTCTATCTACGTGCATTCATCCCTGCATAAAGGGGTATAATATCGCAATACATGTATCTACGTTCGTATGTATACATACGTGTATATATAGTGCTTTTAGGTGGGAACCGTCATCTGGGACTGTCTTTATATATATTTTTTGCAGGCAAGGGTGTTGACTGATATCCTGGTCGGTCATTGTCGCGTCGTTTGGCCTGTGATGTAGGGGGCGGTGCTTGCATGCGGGACTTGTCATCTAGGATCGGTTATGTTTTTTTTTTGGCACCCTTGTCTGCATCCCGGTTGGTTTTGTCCCGTTGTTCGGTTTATTTTGGCGCACGTAGCGGTGCTTTCATGTGGGACCAGTCATCCGTTTTTTTTTTTTTCTTTTCTTTTTTTGTGTGTGTTGTTGTTGTTGTTCGGCCTATGAGAGCATGAATGGTTTAGGGCTGGGAATACCAACGTCTTGATGATGACGAACAAGGCCGTTTGGGGTATATAGATATGTACTCGGGATTTCTTTTTGTGCAGGCAAGAGTGTTTTGATATGCTGGTTGGTCTTGTCCCGTTGTTTGGCCTACGAAGTTGGGGGCGGTGCTTACATGTGGGGCTTGTCATCCAGGATCTTGTCGCCCCCTGTTTTGTTATAGTATTCGGCTGTTCCCTTCCTCTTTTCTTTGCCTCTTTGCCTTTTGGCTGTGTGCAAGTGGGTCGATATGACACACGGGGGTGGGGGCAGCCGCTGCTCAACCTACATCCACGTGGGCGGCGTTGTACGCACGTGGTTCTGAACAGGGGGATTTGTAAGGAAGAACATAGAAAAATGAATTCATTTTTTTCTTTTTTTCTTAGCTTTTGCGCTCTGATAACTTTGTGACGAATCTGATTATATATATACAGAGTTGCCAGGCCGAACGTACGGAGGCCCCTAAGCTGACCCCCGGACGTTCGGGCGTTCGGGTCCCCGTATGGGGCCCGAACTGGAAGGGGTTCGGACCCCGCAAAAAAATATTTTGGTACCTAAATTTTCTTTTTTTTTCTGAATTTTTTTTGTGAATTCTCTGTTATGTACGCTACCTGTATTTCAATTTTGAAGTCATTCTGTGGAGCCAAACAATAATGAAAAATCGGCAAAGATGGTGGTGTCAAAACTTGCTTTCCCACTTACTAATTTGTTTTTTTTCTCTTTTCACTTTTTATAAAATTTCATGGCATTTTACAAAGCCAAAAAAAAAAAAAAAAATCGCCAAAGATGGCTTTATCTTTTCTTATTTTCATTAATATTATTTATTTTTCGTATTTGATTTTTAGTTCAAATCTGGTAAGGAATTTGGATGTACTGTTGAGGCAAATGTTGTTTAGTTTATTCTTCTGCATGACATATGTTTTTTGCAGAATTTGTGGAAACCTTTTTTTTTTTTTTTTTTTTTTTTTTGGTTCAGCGTTCGGCCGAACGTCCGAACGCGTCGAGAGGGGGTCCCAAACGTTCGGGCGTTCGGGTTCGGGTGTTCGGCCCGTCCCGAACGCCGGCAACCCAGAACTGCCCGGTAAACCGTATAGGCAGAGAGAGAGAAGAGGACAACAAACGAGGGGCTGTGACAAACTGTTTCGTCGGAGTTTCACCGACTCATCATATGATTCATATATATATATATATATATATTCCTCTTTTTGCGCTCTGATAACTTTGTGACAATATATATATATTTCTCCCTGTTTTGTTGTATTTGGCTGTTCCCTTCCTCTTTTCTTTGCCTCTTTGCCTTTTGGCTGTGTGCAAGTGGGTCGGTATGACACACGGGGGTGGGGGCAGCCGCCGCTCAACCTACATCCACGTGGGCGCACTTGTACGCAACAGGTTCTGAACAGGGGGAGTTGTAAGGAAGAAGATAAAAAATGATTTCACTTTTCTGTTTTTTTTATATTTTTTTTTTCGCTTTTGAGCTCTGATATCCTGTGACAATATATATATATCTATATAGGGCAAATTGCAGATATACCGGTTTTCAAACTTATCGAAGGGTGCGATGGGAAGTTGTGGATGACCAGTGCTGGAGGTGCTCATGTCCAGTCGGTGACTTTGGAACACGACCCTCAGGCTCTGTGTTCGGAAGGCGAACATGGCCATTTGATCATCATCACTAGTGCTTCCAGAATATGCTTGGTGTCCTCCGAGGTTTGCCGTTATGATTTCTCCTTGAACGTAGAGATTTTTTTTTTATGATTGATGTGTGGATAAGTACTGTGTCGCCAATCGCTCCACTTGGAGGGCAGGAGGTCCGATGGGCTCCATTCATGAGGAGCGATGTGAGAATCTCGGCCGAAGATAAAAGTCCGAGATGTTGGCCACTGAGAGGACGATTTTTGTGTGGGTTTTTTATCGAGAGCAAGCCTGTATACATGCTGCTGGAAATTGGCGAGCGCTCTTGATGCTGTTGCATGGAGTCTGCGACCTTCAACTTGGTGTTTAGAGCAGCAGCAGCAGCAGCAGCGAATGCGAGTCGGTCTTCCAGGTTGTAGATCAGTCAGGCGTGCTGACGTGTCGCCAGGATTTGCTTGCCAATTTCGAAGACGCCAATGGTGAGGCTGTGATAGACCTGGGTATCAATCTGGATCCGGATGGCCGGGAAGCGATATTCTTTGTGTCGGACGGGCGTCTCTGGAGGCTAAACATTTCCACGGCGGGCGGCGCCAACGGTGCTCAACGGAGTGCCGCCAGCGATTCATCACCCACTCGCTCTCCCCCTCCCACTCCCACCCTCCTCCATGGCCCTTGGTCGAACGATAGCGGAGCACTTAGAGCGGTGGCTATAGTTGATCGGCAAGTGGACGGCCAGAAGAACACGAGGAGAATGATTTTCGTTGACGACATAATAAATCTTTGCCTTCGTGCGTTCTCGATCGACGGCGTGGACCCGCCTTTTGAAGGCGTGCTCAATTACAGTTACGGGACTGGCAGTGCGCGAATGTCTAGCCTTGCTAGCTACTCCAAAGGCCACCTCTTGTACGGTACCTCGGACTCGGCGATTTACCGGCTTAATCTGACGTGGGAAAGCGACAAAGCGATCCCTGCGGGAGACCAGCAGCAGTCCCAGCAGCTGCCGGATCTGGAACTCTGGCTGGGATCCGCTCCAGGAGTACGTGGCCGAGGCGGCGTGATATTGATTAGACCGTACGTCAGTACGACTGCCATTACCTCGGACGGGGAAGTCATGTATGTCGCCGAGAGGAAAGTGCATACCGTCAGCCGACTCCTAGTGTCCAGCGAGCTCATGGAGACAATTGCGGGAAGGCATGCTCGGGCCGGCTATCTCGATGGCCCTGCTTTGAACGCAACCTTCACAGAGCCCATCACGTTAGCATTGGCATCCGACGAGTGTAATCTCTTCGTTGGCGAGTTCGGTGGTAGAATACGGCTCGTCACCTTCAATGGGACCGACACCAGTGTTCGGACGCGTCTCAATATGGGCAAGGGGGTTGTGATGTCCTTGGCTATTCATCCCAACAACGAAGCACTCTATGTTGCCTCAGGGGGGGGCAGATCGATGCTGTTGGAACTGGCCTTGAACAAATCTGCACTACCGAAGTGCACTCCCCCTCCACGTGATCCTGTCCAAGCGAATTTGCCTCCCCTCTCCTCCTCCTCTGCTCCCTCTCCCTCTTCGTCCACCACCTTTCCCCCCTCCCCCTCCCTCTCCCCCTCCCCCTCCCCCTCCTCCCCCCCCCCATCTGCCCGCTTCCTTATCATAGCGACGGTGCTGTCTCTGGTGCTTGTCGCAGTGGTGGCCGCGGCTGTGATGGCTTTACGGAGGAGGAGAGCGCACGATGGTGGCTCGTTGTGCTGTTGCTGGAGGCGGCTGGGGGGTGAACAAGTGGGGTACGACAAGCAGCCTGTGGTAAAGGAACCGGTCGCACTCGATACCCCGTCTGCGGCGACGGAGGATGAGGAGGATGGTACGTGGGATTCGTTTTGGAAGCAAAGCAATACCCTGGGAAAGAGTGCCGCTGAGTCCTCCCGCAGTTTTCCGTGGAAGTTGCGCCCGTCCGGTCTCCAGTGGTTCTCGCTCGGACAGCTGGCGAGCGCCTGTGATGGGTTCCAATCGAGGAATCTGATTGGCAAAGGGGGATCAGCGGAAGTCTACAAGGGGGTGCTGTCCACGGGGGAAGTGGTGGCGATCAAACTGATGAAGGGTGGGGATTTCTCCAAGGCAAGTCTTAGGCAGTTTCAAGCGGAGCTCGACTTGCTCGGCACCATCCGCCATAGCCATCTCTGCAGTATTCTCGGGTTCTGCACGGAAGACGATGTGTCGTTGATCGTCTATCCCTTCATTTCAGGAGGGAGCCTTCACGACCGTCTGCACAATTTGCCCCCCTCTCTCTTCTCTCCGTCCGCCGGCGATGGTGGATGGGATACGGGCGATTGGCAGCGGCGGCGGCTGGGGGGGGATGGGGCTGCAGATACCAACCCCACAGTCAGCAGCGACGGTACGATTACTACTAGTACTATTAGTTGTAGCAGCAGTAGGAGTATGAGCAGGAGTCTCCTAGCCGGATCGCGATCACCACTGACTTGGAAGGATCGCTTGTCTGTCGCCCTGCAGGTGGCGAAGGCTCTTCGGTTTCTTCACGAGGATCTGGACCCACCTGTTGTCCACAGGGACGTCAAGAGCAGAAACATATTGTTGGAGGGTGGGAGCGGCAGCAGCGGCCCACTGAGGGCCTATCTGGCGGACTTTGGACTGGCCAAGCGAGGGCAGAGTGTCTTCGGCAAAATCCAGGCAGGGGAAACAGTGGAGACCTACCACGTGTCGGGGACCATCGGGTACATGGCGCCAGAGTACTTCAGGTATTGCCGACTCACGGCCAAGAACGACGTTTATGCGTTCGGGGTGGTGTTGCTCGAGCTCATCACTGGTAGAAAAGCCTTCGCCGCCACGAGGGATGAGGACAACAACAACAACAACGACAACAACAAAAAGGAGAAGGAGGAGGAGGTGGGAGAAGTTGGTGGTGATGCGGAGAAGGGGGGCGAGGAGAAGACGATGGAGCAGGATGAGGTGGTGTCCGAGACTCTGGCATCCTGGGTAATGGGAAAGCTGGCGATGTTGAACTCCCTGCCCCCGGAAGAGGGAGAAGGGGGCAGCATTTCACGCAGCCAGAGCTTGAAGAACCTCCAGGCTGTCAGATGGGTAATTGATGAGCGGATGGTGAGGACATTCGACGGTGGCGGGATTGATTGGTCCGCGGCGAGCGGGGTGCTCCAGGTGGCCATGGCGTGTATCAGGGAGGCGCCCGAGAAGCGTCCTCGGATGGTCGAGGTTGCGAACGAGCTTGTTCGATTGGAGGGAGCGGGGGGGAGAGCAGAAGCAGAAGCATGGGGAAGTAGACGTCGAGAAAGAATCTAGTATTCCAGTGCAGAGTCCAGTCTGACACAGCTGTATGCAACACTCAGGCTCCTGAAGTCAGTGAACCAAGTACGTGGAGGTAGTAGATAAATACGCAGTGACTGCCGACATTCATCGATGTACACTTGCGACGACGACCAAGACCCCTGATGATGGCTAATTGGCGGGCCAGCCGAAACTAGTTGGCAGCCAGAGGCTGCGCTTACCTCGGTTGTTTTTTGTCGTTTTGTGTAGTTTTCTTTTTCGGGAAATGTAGTGACTCTACTCGAGGTTTTGCAGGGTGGTTTTGGGCTTTAGGAAAAGGTAAGAAGGGTGCGGTCGCGGCTAGGAGACGGACCGGTAGTGTGAGTGGTCGTGGAAGGCTTTGGGGAGTGCACGTCCAAAGGGTTTTTCATGAGGTCGGGCGGGCATGCGGTGGGCTGCGGCTAGGTTTCCTTTTTGGGCGGAGGGTCGAGGTTTTTTTGGGTGACGTCGGGGGTTCTGGGGGGTGAACTGGATGATCGGGCGTTGTTGTACCCTGGCGGTTCCACTCTTTATTGTGTGCCGGTTCAGTTTTTCTGTTTTTTTTTTGGCTTTGCTTTTTCTTCAAAGGGTGACAGTCTTGTCTTTCTTGACATACATTGGTCGAGGATGAGTTTCAATCTTTT